ACACTATTATTGACAGGCACTTTGTACGTCTCATTGTCTTGTGCATCATCATTGTTATTGATGGAGTCATTGCTGAAGTCTGAGCAGAAGGAGAGGTTCCTCGTGAGCAGATCAAAGGCGTTGTTATTAGCTACTGGTGGTACGGGCGAGGGCTGCGTGTCTCCCAAGATATCTCGCTTCACTAATGATAAAGATTGGTTCAACGCTGCACGTGTTGGTGATTTCTTTGTACGTGGCATTGTTGAGAACTGAAATTATTTTAAAAACATTTATTACACGAAATTAGTAAACTAATTACCATTTTCAAACAATATATAAAGATAGAGTTTTGAGTTCATTCATTAATTTTTTTAAGACCCAAATCTTTTTTTTATGTCAATTTTACGAGATAATTACTTCAGGTAATGGCGGCTTGGGTTTGGGCGGGACTGGGATGAGGAGACGCGTGGGCAGGCCGTCGGGTACGCGGCCATAGTGCTCCACCAGCCGCTCCAGCGACTCCAGGTACGGTCCGTCGTCTATGTACAGCCATTGAGCCTGCAAGATTCAATGGCAACATTACAATATTTTGTCTACTAAAATGTAAATTGCGTAAAAAGTTTTGCTCGGGGAACAAAAATAAATTAACGTGATTTCTAAATTCATGTATAATTTTAATAGATTACACTCGTTTATTTAATTTAAATGTTTTTAAATGTAAGAATTACTAAATATATTACCTCTTTCCTAATAATAAAGTTATAAGGTGCATTTTCACTGAGCATAGTGAGTACGTATGCGTTGGCGTGTCGCTCGCTGTAGCGCACGAGGAAGGCGCCATCCGCCGCGCGCTCCAGCAACCCCTGCTGATTGCAGAACGCCTCCAGCGTCTTCACCGCCTCCTCTCTGTTCAGCGTGCCGTGGTACCACTGGCTTTTACTAGTCTTTGGAGGATCTGGTGTATGGTTTTCTATAAGAAAATTATATTTAATTAGCTTTACAATTTTTAAGTTACATAATTTAAAAAAACGCATTATTTTTATGTATTGTTAACATAGCTATGGTCACTACTATTCATTAAGCAATATTTTGGCGAATAAAACATTACTTACTTAGCAACTGATAACACTCCATATGTCCATAATGTTTGGCGAGATCTGCGGGTGTGTCTTGCGCTATAGTCCTTGGTCGCGAAGGCGCATTTAGTTTTAAAAGAACCTGAAAAAAAAAAATATATGTATACTGTGATTGTATGTACTCATTACATTGGGATATTATGAAATGGACTTTTACCTCTCTAAATATATAAAAAATTACTTTTATAACATACCTTTACACATTCAATATGTCCTTTTTGTGCGGCATCGTGAAGAGGCACTTTGCCGGTGGGGGCGTGACGCATCTGGTAGTTAGCGTTGCCCTTTGTGATCAGCAGCTCCGTTGTACTAGGCAAGTTATTCTGACATGTGTACTGCCAACAAAATAAATCATAATTAAAAATTTGTCTAAGCATTTAAAGTAAAATTTTCTCAAATACAAAAGAATTATGTTATTTTTGAATTTAAATTACTAAAATCTTACATGCAAAGGCGTGTATCCGAACGAGTCTCGCACGTTGACAGTGGCGCCGCTCTCGATAAGTTTGGCAAGTATGTCGTCGCGTCCGGCGCGCGCAGCGATGTGCACGGCCGTCTGCCCGTCCTGGTTCTTGGCATCGCGGCTGCGATATCCACACGCTAACAGCTGAGACACGATGTTGAATTCACCAGCCTCCGTCGCCCTGGAAAAAAATATTTACTGCTAATTGATTCAGCAAATAATCTCTCGATTAATATTACCGATTATAAAATTCAACTATACTCAGTTGTATACTCCCCAATAATTAACAAATATTTAAATGTATTTTAAATATACAGATAACCATGTTTAATCTCAATAATTAAACAGTAGTCAAATATCTGGCAATGGCTACTTAACATTCCGTTCATAATGAGATGTTCAAACAAAAATAACGTCATTGAGAAGCGACCGTGTGATTGCTGTGAATCATTTAACATAAACAATGATTCACAATTGTCAAACACAGATGTATCTGGTCGAATTGTAGTTAAGATATTCTTCACCCCCACCATCAAAACATTCCCAGCGTATGACTAATGTTATTTGTACAATATTTTAATCAAGTATATTGTTTAATTAATTCTAATGTAGTCTAAATTATGATTCAATGTTTACATAATAACAAAGTACATTACATATGCAGCTACTACTTAAAAGATACAACTCAATATTTAAGAAGTAGAGGCAACTCGAGAACCCTTAATTTAGTGTCTTAAATTGCAACATAATTTTACATATATTTCTTCCTTTAAATATCTAATTAAAATCAAAATGGCTTCATTGGTATCTAAAATTTATTGATATTTACATTAATCTAACTAATAATAAAATGTGAAAGTTTAGATGTATGGATGTTTGTTACAAGGTATCTCCAGAAATCCTAAACGGATCTCGCTAAAATTTGGCATAGACATGGAACATAGTCTGGAAGAACACATATGGTACTAAATATGTTTTTTATTTCCCGCGGACGGAGTCGCGTGCGACCACTAATAAATCTATAAAGGTGTAGCTTATATATAATATTTCAATGTAGCATAGTAATTATGAATGATTAATAAGTTAATATAAGTTGAATCTAACTACATCATTGCAATGTTATTCTTGGTATTTTTTTTCTATATTCAGCTGACTTTATCACTTATGAATGTTATATGTGAGTTAACATACAGTGGAAGTATATTGAGCACTACATAAGCAGGAAATAACCAATAAACTTGTCAGTGTTTATATCACATTCATATAAACTGCAGTGTATGTAAAAATCAAGGGCAATAACCTGTATGTTGGTAGCAACTTGATTAAACATGAATACAATTATTTTTTAATGTCGCATGATTTTATTTCTTACCAGCCTTTTATGACCATATTTGGATAAGAAATTTATTTTTAAGACTTCTTTTGTTTTGGTTGATACAAACTATATTTGTCAATGTAATGAATAACAATATCAAGGATCTTATTTACATTGTAATTATATGAATACTAGCTGTTGCCTGTGACTCCATCCGAGCGTTATTAAATAAATGAGTAGCCTATGTATTCTTGCAGACTATTCTACATCTATGCTAAATGTTAGCCAGATCCATGCGGCGGTTCTGGAGATACTTTCTAACAAACATACATTCATCCATCCACAAATCCCAACATTCGAATTTATAATATTAGCAAGATTTATATAGTAGACTTCTAGATTTCATTAATAAATATTGAAACTATTTTACATAACTATCTGTTAAACATTGTTAAGTAGGTGTTTAAATAAAGGACATCCTGTAGAACCTTTTGTTGGATAGAATGGTCACATATCATTAAGTGAAAAATATAACAATGTCTTGTTATAGATATAGAAACAAATGTAAGACAATGCAATCTTATCACAAAGCATCAATGAAAATCAATTGTTCAATAGTAATAATCTTCAACGGGCATATTTATAAATCAAAGTCAATTTGTATAAGGATAAGTGAAGGAAAATTAGGGACAATTTATGACACTTGTCTTAATAGAACTTCCTTCTTCAGTCAATATAACCTCTATTGGCAAATGCTTTTACATACTTGTAAATTACAAGTTGTAATATGTAATATTCCAGTAGATTAGAATTTTTATCATTTATTATTTCTTTAAGCACAAAAATACAACCATAAACACAGGATTTCAAAGTTAAAGATTTTTTCATCCCAACATAGTTTATAAGTGTATAAATTAAAAAAAAGCAAAATTAAATAAGAACTCTTGTGTCTGAAGAACAAAATTTTGATATAAATCACATAAAGCAATATAAGAGAGAAAAAAAAGTAAGCCAAATTCATTAGAATCTGGATATTTGTACAGTCTATCAGTTTAAAATGAGTTATCAAGAATAAAAATGCCTGTACAGGGAAATAACATTTTTTGAGTCAATAAAAAAAATAATTTAAGATACAAGGCAGCGGTTTTATCCATTTAACAAGGTACCAGTTTGACTAGAGATTCTACTATATCATTATTCTAATTGGAATCTAATTTATTTTTGTTTTACCAAAGACAAATTAAATACTAAAGGTAACTTACCGATGTAATAAATTTGTAGTCCCTTGTGTCCTAGATTCATGTGGTGGAGGTTGTCCTTTGCAGACCACAGACAAGCGAGTTACCAGGCCATTAGAGTCTCCACGGTAATGTTGGATCAATGTATCCAATCCATGCACAGTTGTATGTTCTTCTATAGAGAAAAAGGCATCTTCCCCGTGTCTCCGTATTTGATAGTGCACCACTTCTCCCTGAATAAAAATTACGGTTTTGTATTATAGTTGTTGACTATGAATCCAAAAATAATTTTGCTGACATTTTGAACAGGTTAATGCAATAATGGGCACACAATTAAAATAATATTGTTCTAAATAGAGAAAATACTGTTGCTAGAATTTAAAGAGGTTAGAAAACTGAGAAGTATATTTTTACCTGGTGTAAAACAGAAAGAACATAGTCTCCAGGTGATGTGTTACTCTCACGGACTAAGAAAACACCATCTTCACCCTCTGTAGCAAAACATAAAGTTATGAAAAGTCGACTAAGTATAAACATTCACCAAATTCAATAATTATGTACCTTCTTTTAACAGTATCTCCGCATTTTCTCGTGATATTTTCCCATGAAACCAGTTTACATTATCTTCTCTGTTCATCCTCAACAAAAAAGAATTAGTCTGAAAGTTGAAAGAAACCTGCTTTGTAAGTGTCACACATCAAAACTTTTTGAACAGTTTGCACAATGTGAGTTACTGAACGAATAAATAATTCACAGTAAGTTTAAATCAATTTATGTCAATTCCTCTGATACCGCTCATTTGTATTTTAGTTTTGAAAAACAAACATTTTACAAACAAAACATTTTATAGATATACTTTGATACGTATCGTAATGTGAAGCAAATTCATTCGTCCTATTTCTTTCTAACTAATGATAATAGACAACTGATTACCCGAATTATTTAAATAAAAGAACACAAAAAGGTATCCTTGTTTTCTCTACGAATGTTTTATGGTGACAGAAAGAGATAGATACACTTTGTGTACCATTTTCATTTACTTGGATTATACGCTGTAAACGTCAGACAACTTTAGTCAATTAAGAAACTTTTTTAAGTTTAAAATTCTCAGAAATCTCCTTTTATCAACCTATGGCTTTCTAGAAGAGATTAAATACATAATTTCTAGATAATAATTACTGACTCACCTTCAGTAGTATGAATGACGTCATGGTTGTTATCATTATATCCAACTTTAGAAGCACAAAAATATTTACAATTGGCGAATTTAATATTCCTTTAAAAAAGGATTTGTTTCAACATTATTTTTTTAGTTTACACATTTTAAATTAAATTACATTTTATATTTTATCACGACTTATTTTAGTTATTTACTTTTAAAATATTCGCAGAAACGAAGTGCGTCTAGCTAGCAGCCGGCAGACAGGCGTGAGGCGCGGTATCCCCGACTCTGCCTTCCAACGAATGACTCATAGCAAGGTCAATTCCGAGAAATGAATCACCAGTGTACTCAGTACAGCAATGCCATAAGTAGTACGCATTCCCTCACAACACAACTTTGCGTCGTTCTTTTAATTTGTATATAGTATGTATTTACTATATACAAATTACACAATTATATGCTGAATTTACTGCAATAATATTCATGCTCGCAAGTCGCAAGTGTTTTAATGTTATTTTTAATGATATAGAACTACGCTCTAATGCAATATTCCAATTAACGGATTATTTATGCTTAAAACAAGCAATTATTTTAATTAATTAAATGGAATAAAACAAAACAGCTAAAAGTGTTAAAATTATAAGAACGGCAACGTAAGAAAGTTATTACAAGAAACCAATTCCATGTAAATATTTACTAAATATAGTACAGCATAGTTTCCTATCGAATGGTGATATGAGAATGTATGAATAATAATAGATGACACCGCTTGTTAGAGTGCATCTCAACCCTACAATTTTATCTAGTGACATTAAAATCGAGTAATATTTTTTACGTCAGTAAAACTTATTTAAATTACATTATCTACATAAATAGTACTACACTGGTCACCACCATGGTTTTTAGGAAATTAAAGTCGTTTAGGATAATTGTAAGGATGCCCTTCGTCCCCTTATGTTTTACACCTAAGATCTGCGCAAGGTCAAATCTCCTATACAAATGATATAGTTATTTGTTGTATGTATAAATCGACGTTCACAATCCTTTATGAAGCACATCAAAGCGGCGCTTTTTCCATGACCCACCCAAAGGTTATTTATTACCAAAGACACGTAACATTTGTTAAAAAAATGAAAGAATGGAAATAAAAAGGAAAGGGGTAAAGGGTACGACTACTCTTTGTTTAGTCCCTGTGTGCCCTTTTCTACTAAGAAAAGGAAATAATCAGATGTCCGCTAGCTCGTTTGCCATCTTGTATTCATAAAATAGATCATTTACCATCTAGTTTATGTGACAACGTAAACGTACCTCTATTACAAACGCCGGTAGAGTTGTGACATTTGTTTTCTTTTAAGTTATTTATGGTGTTGCAACGTCGCTCGGTTCGATTTACTTTAGAAAGTATTTGCTATAGCTAAGTATATATTTAATGATTGCACAAACCAGTCTGAGCTAGAGGCGTGTTTACCTCACGAATGCAATGTTTATTTACTTTCATTTGGCAGCGTAACCTCACTGCGAACTGCGAAGAAGAACGAATAAATTACGACATGGAATGCCATTCGGTTACAACTATTGCTTTAGTTTAGAGTTTATAGGTTAATTGATAAGACAATCGTAATAACGCGTATAGTTTTGTAATATTTAACCAACATTTTCTAGTACAAAACACATTTTTATAATCAACTATCCATCGCCAGCGACTTTGTCCGCGAGGGAATAAAAAACTTAATTAGACTATATGTTCTTCAGACTGTGTTCGACATCTATACCAAATTTCTCCAAGGTCCATGCCGCGGTTCTGGAGATACCTTCAAACAAACATCCATCTAAACATTTGCATTTATAATAATAAAATTATAAAATAATTATATATTTCTTGTTGTTTGTCGCACTTTTATATATATTATTTATTGAATGTACCAGGAAACTTGCTATTCTCATTACTTTAATATATTTTAATTTAATTCCGTATATTTATTTCCTTTTCTGGTTCTTAATATACAAATGTGTCAATGTTTTTGTCATACGATATCTGGTTATGTTTGTCCTTAAATAATAAGCGGTGATTAAAGTTCATGAGTCAATTGCGCGCAAGACTGTGAATTTTAATAACCGTAATAAACAAAGACAAGTTACATTGTTAATATAATCTAACTACAATGAGGTAAAGAATCTTTGTATTATATTTAAAATATTATTATATTCGACCAAACCTGAGAGTTCTTCATTATCTTATTGTACGCCGCCCAACGGCGAGCTGTATTAAATTGTATGCATTGTTTATGGTATCTATTCAATATTTCGTATAAAAAGGTGCGAAATATTTTATGCCTGTACTGTATAATTATTGACAACATACGTATTCCCGATGAAAAGCGGCCCGGTCACTTCGCAGTATGTAGAGCTTGCAGTTGCCCGTGCATAGTGATTATGTCATTTACAATTTTCTCGGACTACAACTTTTGACCGTAATTTAAAAACTTTGAAAATGATCTTATTTCTTCATGGTTATAAAAGGGTTAGAGGGTTTAGCAAATCTAATGTTTACACAAAAGGAAAACTAACCTCACTTCAGCATGACAACACAACTATTATACATTACTTTGCGACATCTATACTTATAATAAGAGTGAAGATTTAATTGTTTGTTTGTTTGCATTGAATACGCTTCAAAACTACGTAACCTTTAATTAAATTTGAAAAATTATTTCACTGTTGGGAAGTTACACACACTATCCCTAAAATTGGCTAATTTTTTTTACAAGATTTTTTTAATTCCGCGTAGCGAAGTCGCTTGCAATTGCATGTAATAAAGCAACACTGACTAGGAATACTCTACAACAAATAATAACGCTACGAGTTAGGAAGGAATTAAAATTCGTTGTATGTATTCATAACAAATACACATAAATGCCTCTACAATTTCTTACCAAACTATTACTTACAAATATTCTACGCTACTAATATTTTTAAATCAAATATAATACATACATTTAAGCCCAAGTATTTTTTACTCACGTTTACTTTAAATTTATATGTGTTACGTAATGTTGAACAAAATTTAATGTCCCGAATTTCATATTGTCATGATGGTGATTGTAGGGCAAGGCAGCCAGGAGCCGCCGCGTCGCCGTCGCCGAATGACTCACTCCGCTTTCTACCAGCTACCAGCACCGGTCGATGACACCCAGCCCACTTAGCTATAAACCACGCACCCTATTTATATATAAACTTATACGCTATTAATAAATTACACGACATTCATCTAACAGGACAATAAAGCTATAGAAAAGACTTGATACATGTAATTTCTAGAAAAATTTATTGTTTTACTCCACAATAACCTTTATTATATTATATTATAAATAGTGGAAGAATAGCATAGATTGTGGAGGCCAGGTATACTGAGGGTATTTTACAGTTTGTGTTGACTATTTGATCTTATCTATAACCAGAGAGTACTTAAAATGGTATCACCATAGTCATTAATTGTCTATTCCTAAATATGTGTGTCTCATTAAGCTTAATAATCTTAATTCTTAGATCAAATCAATCAATTAAGAATTTTTTTGCGTAAAACGTAAAAAATAAATTGGTAAACCGAGGTTATAGAACAGTTCAGTCTATTATGAAGTGAATAATGCTGTAAAGAATATACTGTTTTTATATCTTAAAAAAATTGTTTCCCAATGATCAGCTATATGCATTTTGTATCGGTTAAAATAAAATAAATGTAATTATCAATCCTTGAACGTTCGATCACCGAGAGAACCTTCCGATCGACCTCAAGTTGCGCGAAGTGACCAAAACAAATAAAAACAAGGAGACCCGGGTCCGGCCAGTTTGCGCAAAAACCAAACAGTAGTGCGGATGAGGTAATCGTTTCCATTCCATCAATGAAAAAAACACATCTTCTAAAAAAAGCTTTTGTCCAAACGATAACTGTACATATAAGATTGTGAATCGGTACATTCAATATGTAACCCTAAATTTTAGTGTACAAAGTTTATTTTTACTTGAAGTTGTAATTGAATAATTCTAAGACGCCATTTGATAAATTTACCAGATACAAATAATGAGTCACGCCGTTACTAATTCAGACCACAAAGCGTGAACGGTTACATACTTTGGACAGTTTAATAGATACCTAAAATTGTAATTGCTTTAACAGCTGCCATCGAGCTACTGTGAGATCTCAAAAGACATCGGTGGAGAGTTTGTAGAATATTAATTATTAGATAACGTCATTAAGGTCTGATGTCTAATCCTAGAGTATTTTTTTCGACAGTAGTATTTACAGCAGTAATAACTCGTTCGTTTCGTCCGTCCTAATCACTGCAGCGGGTTCTATTACGAATAGTTTGTTTATCCTGTGATTTTTCGTGTTTTTGCTACGTAGTTGTAATTTTTGTGCATGCAGTATTTACTGCTAATAGACAAACTGTGTGTTTGATAAAAAATGTATTAGAGTCTGTGGGTTATATTTGACTAACTATCACAGCCTGTGAAAAATAATTAGCAACTAATTGCATTGCTGTATTATTGCTATTTTTTCCACGAAGCGTATAACAGTTTCGATTGATCTTAAAAGCAGTACTTTTACCAGCAAGAAAAGAATTGTTGTTTTAGTACAATTTTTTTATTTTTATTGTTACCTAAGGATTATTTCAATTTGTCAATCGTCATAATTATAATACGGATTTGTAAATAATAAAACACGAAATTGTAAACATGGCATATTTATTCTATTATATCGTATAAAAAATCCACCGAATATAATACGTATTTTGACAGATTATATAAAAGTACAAAAAAGACCTTACATCTAAACATACTTTTATTTAATTATAATGATATACGTAATGGAGTATATAAGTTTATTATGACAATACTTTGGACGTTATTGAGTCACGTTACAAAACAATTAAAATATGCTATACTACCTATTTGCTCTTAATTTTTATTTAATTCTAACCTATAAAAATAATTAAACTAAAAAATTAAGACCAATTTCATTAATCTCGCTGGCAACTAAAAAATTAAATTTACAATGAAATTTTGAATAAAATTTCTATTGATTATAAATTAAATATTATAAATAAATTTTTACCGTAAAAATATTTACAAACACTTAACGTTAGAATAATCTAATGGTCTATAACTAGTGTATTTATGTTTAAAATTGAGAAATATTGTATTGTTTGGAATCGAATATAAGTGAATCAAAAATTATGACAGCAATATTTTCTTATAATCAATTGAACCAATACAAATACTCTTTTGTTTGAAATGGTTTGGAAAGATTAGTAGGACTTTAAAATGAATTAAAAATTTAAAGTAGTAGAGAAAAAATTAACAAAACTTATTCAAAAAGTTTTTCTTTTATAAGCTAAACTGTAAATGAAACTTAAATTAAAATATAACTTTAGTATAGAAGAAAGTAATAAAATTTAAAAGACAATGAATGATTCAAATAATATATCTCACTTATTATTATGCGAATTAAAACATGCATTGTTGTATCACAGCTTATACATATAAATTATTTAAATCTTAATCTAGGAATTAAATAAAATCTTATAAATGGACGGCAAATTTTCGACGAGATACAATTATCCGATAATCTCATTTAAAACTTGGGGTTTTAAAATCAATAATATACTTGTAAATTTTAACGAATATCTTTAAGTGTCTAAAATGTTATTAAATGGGGCAAATTTAGTATTTCATATCAGGATAATTTAAAGGGCTAAATCTATTTTTATTCATTGTTAAATCTAGCCGTTGGTCTCCACTACTGAAACACCTATATAAAAAGATATCGTCATCTCTGATTTTTCTAAGAGAATGAGAGTGATGGCATTATGTTAATATAAAGTAAGTACTATGCCAGTGGGTTCCCACGTTAAGTTTAGCAAAATCTTAAAATATTTAACCATATAATTTAGGCTTAAAGTTCTTAACTAAAGACTTATGTTAACTTATAAATGGGATGTTTTTAAATGACTGAGATGCTTTTAAAAGAATTTTAAAGGATAATTTCTTTCTTTCTTATAAAACGGTCACGTGTAGCAGTTGTCTTCGTCGGCGTGGTCGGAGCAGTCGATGGTGCCGTCGCACAGCTGCGCTAGTGTAATACATCTGCAAAATAGATTGAAATTGTTAATCTTTCATAAATACTAACTTATTACTGTCGCAATTAGGATGTTAGTGTCGGGATGTAAACTGACCTGCCGTCGACGCAGCGCAGTTCTCCGCTGGGGCAAGGCGAGGCGTGCGCGCGCGCCGGGCTGCTGTAGCGGCCGGTACCGCGGTGGCTGCGCGGCTCCTCCGTCTTGTCCCCACCCCCGCTCCCGCCCCCGCTACCACCCTCCCCCTTGCCCTCACCAGACTCACCTGTTTCCTCTTGTGGCTCGCCCGCTTTCTGAAAAATTATTCATATTTAATGTTTTTATTATTGGTTTCGTATTATGTTAAAACATTTAATCATTCATTGAGGAGTATTTTTACCTTTAACATTGTTGCACCGTTTATTACCTTCTCTAGGTTGTTTATTGACTTATCAAGATGAACACCCATATCTGATATACTCTCTCTTACATTTTCTTTGTTATCTTCTGGCATGTGCTGGGATGTCGTGGTTGTACGGAGGGTGGTCCGGGATGCCTTCCTCTGTGTTGTTTTTGTCTTGACTCTCGTGTCCAGTTTACCTTTGCTCTGTGTCTTGGTGTCGTGTATAATGGGACGGCTGTAGGGCGAGAGGCGGGAGGGCGACGGTCGACGAGTAAAATTACGTTTCAGGCCGTTTTTACTATCGCTTGTCATAAGTATTTCCTTACTGCTTTCAGTTTCTCCTGAAAATATGATTATATAGTTGTTGTAAATAATCTAATTTTCACAAGGTCATATAGATATTTTGGTAGCAATTCTTACCGTTCCGATGAACAGAGTCGTCGGCGTACCCTTTAGGCGTTTGGAAGGGCCTGCGCACGGCAAGGGCTGGGGCGGAGCCCGCGGGCTCCTCGCCGGGTTCGGGCTCGGCATCGGCGACCTGCTCGTCGTCATTGTCGCGGCGCGCGGCGCACTGCTGCTCCGCCTCGTCCTCGCCGCGCGGGCAGTCCGCGTACCCGTCACACAGCCAGCGAGTGTGCACGCACCCGCCCGACGGACATCTAGTATTATATACAACAACCAGCATTTAATATTGCCAAAAACTATCACTTCTACAGAAAACGTTGTAAGAGTACATAGTACAAGTAAATCTTGGATAACGAGTATTGTTAAAGTTATAAGGTCGTTTACCTTCATTAGAAAATCGCAGCTAAAGACTAAGTATAAGAGAAATGTGGTACCGGAACTCATTGCTGGCGCAGGCGGCACAGTGCGCTTCGTCCTCGGCGGCGGGGCAGTCGGCGGCGCCGTCGCAAGCCCAATGGCTGGGCACGCAGCTGCCGTCACCGCAGGGCAGCTCGCGCGCGCCGCACGGGGACCGCGCCGCTGCACAACCTCCCGTCGGGTACCGCGTGCACCCGAACACGCCCAGTAAGTCCCGCGGTATCGAGCCATCGCAATGTTCTGCTACCGCTGCAAATTATTTATTTGTTTGTACTTCACTGTGGAAATCTGTTGTCCCGACTCACTCTTTAGATATAAGAACGCAAGATTCTAAACACATACCCAATTTAAATTGGTTTACCTCTACAGAGACTATAACAGGGCATCTTGTGTAGGTAGGGAGTGGGGCTACACTCTGGCTCAAGCAGGGTGCAGAGGAAGTGCGCAGTACGCTCGCTGCAGTTCGAGGAGACGAGGTACTCCATCTGTGGCAGCAGGTCGGTGACGTCGATGCCATCGAGCGTCGCTGCTGGCCCCGCTAGGTCGTACGGCAGTACACCGCGGCACAGACCCAGATGAGTCGAACGACAATGTGACACTAAAATTAGCGACACATATAAATTGCAATTAAACAGTCTATTTTATATATTGACCTCAAGTAAATATTGTTATTTGGTAAAAATGTATTTTTAGTAACTAATCATTATGAATTTAAAGAGATTATTTTAAATTAATCATGCAGGCAATATTTATATGCCGTAATTACCCCATTTCAGTTGTTAACTTGTTGTTGTAATCAAGAAGCTAACATGATAAGTCATGATAAGTACCAACATGCTTAAATTGTTATATGTAAGTATTAGATCAATAATCCTAAGTTATAATTAAAACATCTTAAGATAAACGTATGTTAAAACATATCTAACTAAGTGAATACGTGCATACCTTGCGGTTAATTTCCATGCAAAAAATATTTATTAATCAAATAAAAAATATAACGTTTTAATTATTAGCTTCACACCGCAAATCATTGTAAGTCATCTGCATGCAATAGCAAAGAAGATTTCTTACCATCCAAATTGGTATTTAAAGGATATTTTTTAGTGGTTGAATCGGCATTGTCGCGCCACGTCGGCAGCGTGGGTGAGACGCGTGTGTTATACAGTGTGCTCTGTGTCGTGGACTTCATGCTCTGCGCGTCTTCCATGGATATGCCAAAAAGTTTCGAGTGGCCCGACGTGAAGCGGTTATCGTTATTTATAGGAGTGAGGCGATAGTAATCGTGGAGCGCCTGAGTTAGGTCGGGTTCGGTAGGTCGTTGCTTTGAATTGGAGTGTTCCTTGCGTATGTACATTGAGGAGTCCTTGTAAACTGGTGAATAAGGCTTACTTGTCGTCTCCTCTGTAGTCTTTGGCAACTCTTTCTCATCGTAATGCAGAATGTCATTGTTAGACTCTGCGCGGGTGATGGTTTCAGTAGAAGCGGCTACCTTGCCCTCGTCAAAGTAAATAGCTAATGGTCTCTCCGGGCTTTGAGTGATGTGCGGTTTTAGAGTTGACTCATCGCTGTTCATAACTGTATCAATTAATTTGGGAGACCTCATTTTCTCGTTATCGACTCTCTCGTTACCGTACTGCACCTCAGGGACGATGTGGGTGGGGAATACCGGTGGAATGGGAGTTCTTTTCTCGCTCTTTTCCGTGACAGTTTCCATTAAGGATGTTAAATCGATAGTCTTTACATTTTCAGCATCGTAGAAATCAATTTCCTGTGGTTTTGTACCTGCATTTTGTAATAAGTAAATAACATTTAAACACAAATTAAAGTAAATAAAAAAAGTAAACATAGTGCGATAGATAAAAATTCAAATACTTAAAAAATCAAAACTGCTTAAATCAATTAATCCTTGTAAAATAATACTTAATGCAGAAATCTATCGTGTCTGCGATTGGCCTTCAAACTTGTGTTTTTTTACGTTAAATTAAACTCATATTGATTGTAAATATTTTTTGCGAGTTGTATTTTTGCGTTGTTTGTGTTGTTTGACACCCATGTGCAATGTGAACACACAAAGTGTGCGAGTTGCTGTATGAAAACAAATTGTGCTCGTGGTTTCGATATTGAGTATATTATATCGATTTGTACAGAAGAGTGCGTACCTATTTGTGTTCTTTTATGATGTTCGTAAGATAAAGGCGGATGTGCGAAAATAAGATTCTAACAAGAATTTAAGTTTAATGTTGTATTTTTTATCAAATCTTTGTTGTATTGCCTACGAAATGTTGAATCCGCCTCTACCGTTGGAAGTTTTATTTCTCACAAAACATAGTACATAAGCTTGAGTTTTCGTTGAAAGAAATGCAACCTCCTTGGACGAATAATTGTTCAGTTAGCACATTACATCTTACTGTTCTACCAAACCGAAGCCTAAATATTATCAACAACAGATGAAACCGCACAATTTCTGCTAAAATATTTCCATAAACAAGTGAAA